TTTATGCATAACTCCATGTATTGGATGTTCACTCTATTTTTTCAGGTTAGCAATGATGGCTTCACAGAGGTTACTGATCCTTCAGCAGCATAACTGGGCTTTAAGACGAGACTACGGCATGATGCTCTATTATAACAGGTAAAAGTAAAACAAATTTGATATTTTCGAACTTTTTCGGGACTTTTTTCAGCCCCTTTTGATCGATACTGAGTTACTAAAAAATTCTCAAGTTGGGATTTTTTGTACCTAATTTACTCAAATTTTCTTGAATTATTCTTTTAGTCCTGGATTTCAATATAAATAAACGAATAAACTTTTCTATTTGATTAGCTTATTTATGTGTTAGATTTGCTGTTATTTTAAATATTTGAAATTTCGACTCGATTTACAGGGAATACGAAGCTGCTGTGCAAGAGCTTAGCATTTGCATGGCCTTTGCACCAGAAGATGAGGCTGAGGTTTTAGAAACTTTTGTCGAGAAACTACACCTTATGAGGCTCGAGTCTTCTTGGTCGAAATCGTTGAGGTTGGCTAACAGGTCGTTTTGAGTTGATGAGTTATTAGAGCACATTTTTGCTGTCTTAATAATGAGTAATGTATTGTATATAGACTGTTGCCTATGGAGCTCCTTCTTCTTCTCACCTGTAACCTTTCTTGCTTCAAGACATTTGTGTACATATGTTCAATTCTGCATGTTCTTCTTCTAGTTTCTTGGTTTAATTCCCCAAAGATTGAAAAAAAAAAGAAGAAAATCCCCACAACTAGCGTTGCAAACGAGCCGAGCCGAGTCGAGCATTTGCCTTATCAAGCAGGATTAGTTTTTGTCTTTTTAGCTGCTCGAGCTCGACTCGATAAAAAAGTACAATCGCTCGAGCTGAGCTCCGAAATTTTTAAGTGGAAAAATAAAATTACCATTAAGCACTTATGCTATACTATTGTGATATATATAAGGGGTATTTTAGCAATTCAACATATATCTCGAGCCATAAAATATGGGCTCGAGCTCGACTCGAGTTCGTGTTGAGCCACTTGAGCTTGACTCGAGTTCGGTCAAACTCGAGCGCCCGCAACCCGCTCGGTTCATTTGCTTTTATAACAAAAGAAGAGAGTAAATAAAATAAAACAAAAAAAAAAAAATGGTTCATTATATTTCATCAGGTAATCCCCGTTTGTTTTTTTCCCCTAAAAAGTGTTGGTTTTCTTTTATTTACTTTTTATTATGTGAATGGGAAATTGTATAGTTTTTGTATTCTCCAAAAAATGCTGGTTTTCTTTTTGTTATTTTTAAGGAGTTTTATTGTTGGAGAACCAAAAGATGTGTAAAGTATACAATTGGAATTGGTCAAACGGTTAATAAGATGTTTAGGAATGATATAATGAGCAAAGGAATAGAAATTTGCGAAATAAATGAGCTTTTGTTATATAATTACGAGTTCAACCTTTGAATTGAGGTCGGCTCTTTTGTTATACTTACCGATACAAGCTTTGTTACAAAGTAAATGTAGAGTACTTACCGATACAAGCTTTGTTACAAAGTAAATGTAGAGTACTTACCGATACAAGCTTTGTTACAAAGTAAATGTAGAGTGAGAAAGAGTTGGTGCAAGAATCAACCACCTCTAATAAATGAAGAAGTTTCCTATTTATAATATCCTTAATCTGACAATGTTCATCTTGTCACTTCGCACAGTGATTCGGAATGACAGGTCGGCATCGCTTTTGACAAGTATTAAATGCGATCAGAGGTTTTTTTAATGATTACATGTCAGACATTAACTGCACACATGTGGAACATTCAATGATTAAGATGGTAGGCTAGGGTGACACGTCTCATCAGCAATCATAACTTGGCAAGTGACAATATTTTATTATTCCGAGATCCGGCGTACACGCAGGCCTCGTCGATCTTCGTGTCGGACTCTTGCCGCCACTTCATCTTCTGGTCTTCGAATTAAATTAAAATAAATATAATATATTTTTAAAATTAAGACTTCAATAGTAGTATTTAGAAAAAATGAGAAAAACATAAAAATGATTGGTTATTAAAATAAAAAATTTTAAATTGAAGGTAGACAATGATGCATGCAAGCAAACCTCATGGTGGTTCTTTCACTAAGATTTTGGAATTCATATAAGATAGGGAAAGTGTCACTTTTTTTGTACAAGCTGGATATATATATATATATATTTGGGTCCCAATTTCATTCATAAAATTGCAAAAAACTACCCTTTGGAGCACAAAACTATTCAATCATTGCCCCTGATTTTGAAATTAATCATTCATATATTTCCCTCTTGGAATAAAGTGTTTTCTTAGTTAGGTCATCTGACTCATATCATATGTGCTGCCTACTTTTTCCTATCAAACCTTATCCAAACTTCATCTCCAAATCTTGTGCTCCATTATTAAAGGTTGGTTGAAGTTGAACAATCTATGGTGCTAGTGGTGAGAATATGAATTTATTGCAACATTTTTTGTAAACCTATATATACTAAAATTTTTTATTTTTTTTTTTAAATTATAGTAAATGGTATCCTAAGTAGGGAAAAGTGAATATTAATTTATCAGTGATTGAACATTAGTTATTTTGGTTTTAATTTGATTTATTAGATGTTCATAGTTAATTTTAAAAAAGTTGATTGAGTGATGTATGAGCGAGATTTTGAGTTTATATTATAATAATATTTAAATAAAATGATTAAAGTTGATTTGTTGTAAAAATATGAATGATGAGATTAGAAGTCATGAGTAGCTAAAATTATGTGAATGAACTAAAGTTGATATGATGTGTAAGCATGACTGATTGATATTATTTAATTATATTTGATAATATTGAAGATGGTTGATTTGAGTTAAAATTGAGTTAGATTTTTAAGTTAAAAAATTATTTGGTCAAAAGTGACCATATAATTTGTATACAGTTAGAACCCAAGTATTGTGCACGTGGAGGTTTAATCGTCGGATCACACATTCTTACCCACATTTGTACGAGCATGTGTTGATCCGACAATTAAGATTTATGTGATACAAGGCTAACTTCACTCAAATCAGGGGCGGAGCCTTATTGGGACCAGACCCACACTGAAAAAAAAAACCTAGTATTAGTATTAACTCATATTGTTTAATCTAAAAAATACTAGTTATCATATGAGCCCAATAAATCCTCCCTATATATAATTCCTGAATGCGCTGAGCCTACGTGGCTGCTTCTGGTGCTTCGGAATCCTATTTGGCGAAGAATCATGCTTCGTAATTTTTGGACAAATAATATTAATATCTCAATAATTAATAATCTGGGTTCGGGTATTCTATAAATATTATTTAGCTAACTTAGGTATTTTAATATCATTTTTACTAATATAACCCTTTAATTCTTTGTAATTTTACATAGTGAGGTACTATATGACTAATATATCCATAAATTTTGATTTGCTTCCTTCAATAAGCTATTGAAATATAAATATATTTTAAAAGTAGATAACTTTTGTATTTCTTATCGGTTTTACATATATAATATATCTAATTAATCATCTTTTGATGATCTACAATTTGACATCCATATTGTATATATAAATAAATAAATTATATTTATTTTTATAATAATAAAAAAAATAATAACATTTATTAAAATTCATTAGAAAAATAAAATTATTTCTCAATTGATATATTTATATTTAATGTAGTTATATATTGTAAGTTAAAAAATTAGTATAATATAACACAAGTAAGTCGCACAAATAAAAAGTATCATAATAAATATATAATAATATATAAATTCTTATAAAAGGTATTTAAATTTTTCAAACTACTTTTTCTCATTAATTTTAATTTTTAAGAAGAAAATAGCAAGCACCCGTGTAATACACGGGTGTTGTACTAGTAAGCTTAATATAATAAACTAATAAAGTATTTAACAAAATAATTAAACAAGAGAAAATAGTACATAGATCACACAGACAAATACAGAGGGAAAGAAAAATAGGGAAAAAGAAAAGAGTCAAAGAGTTTGTCAATTTTCGGTCCAACTATACGGGAAGACAACTTACAAGATAACGAAATTTTTTTCTGTTTGTTTTAATAGAGGTAAAAATTACTCTTCTTTATTTTTTTTAGATAGTGGTAAATATATTCTTTTTAATGGAGAAATTGCACATTCAAGCCATTTTTAGATTTTTTATACAGTTATTTAAAGTGTGATATGTTAAAATGGGGAATTTTATTTATTGTAAATTTATAATATTATTTTTGTATATCAGGCACAGATAGATATTTTCAAAAAATGTCATGTCAACAAAATTCTTGTGAGAACGTCTCAAAAAAAAAAAAAAACTTTGAATCCAATTAGATTTGAGGGAAATTCTAGTATCTTCGGTAGAAAGAATATAGGACGGAAAAATCTGGTATCAATGCGAATAAATTTGATCGGATTTTATCCTCAATACACCGTTTTTGCATTTGCCCTTTTCATTAAGTATTTTATATTTTTTTAATTATATAATTAGGCCCCCACTCATAATATTTGTTAGATCCGCCCTGCTCAAATGAAAACAAGATGCTAGCATTAAATTATTAAAATTTATGTAGTAACAAATTGTAAATATTAATTACAATATTTTGATGTATTATCCATGATTATGAATAACTAATTTATTAAAAATATTAATCATATGAAATTCCTCAAATATATTCGTGCACTTTTACACCTATCGGCCAACCTTACTCTCCTATGGGCCTCCGATCTTTGGGCCACTTATTGGGTCAAAATGGATTGATATAAGGCCCATGTTTTAGACCCAGTAAGTAAGTGGGCCAATAGTTGGGCTAGTAGTGAGATATAGTAGACCCAGCTTACGATCCAGCCAGAACCGACCACCACCAGCACAACACTCCGGCCGCCGGGAAAGACAGCATAGCTCAAATTCGAGCCAAACAAATCTCGGAGAACGGGAGAAGGTTGTTCACCTGCGAACCATCAAAGACCCACAAAACCCCCCATCAAATGATTTATAGCCTACAGAACCTTTGGCAAGAGGTTCGCGACCTAACCCTAGGCCCCCCGCCCCGAGTCGACCGCCTCCCGTCGCCGCCTTCCCCCCTCCAGTTTCTCCGACATTACGTCGGTCCCAACAAGCCCTGCCTCATCTCCGCCGCCGTCCCCGACTGGCCGGCCCTCTCCCTGTGGCCCTCCCCCTCCTACCTCCGCGAAACTCTAGCCTCAACCGCCGTCTCCCTCCATCTCACCCCCACCGGAAAAGCCGACGCCCTCGCCCCCGGCTCCCCCAACTCCTCCCCCTGCTTCGCCGCCGCCCACGTCGAGAAGCTCCCTTTCCCGGAAGCTCTGGATCTGGTGAAGGCATCGGATTTGGGGGAAATCAAGAGAGTGGCTTACCTCCAGCAGCAGAACGACTGCTTTCGGGCCGAGTACGGGCCGCTGGCGGCGGACTGCGAGGGGCACGTGCCGTGGGCCAGCGAGGCCCTCGGGTGCCTGCCGGAGGCCGTGAATTTCTGGGTGGGGAACAGATTTTCAGAGACTTCTTTCCATAAAGATCACTATGAGAACCTTTATGTTGTGATCAGTGGGGAAAAGAGGTTTCTTTTGCTACCTCCGACCGATGTTCATAGAATGTATGTTCGAGAATATCCTGCGGCTCAGTATATATATCACCGGGTGCGTTTTCTGTCTTGCGGAGTTCTGTAATCGGATAAATTTCAATTCGTCTGGCGAAATTTTGCATATTACCTGCTGAATTTGATTAAAAAAAAAGTTCACCTTTGCTTGCTTAACTTCAATTATTTTGCGAAGTAGCTTACTTAGACCTGAGTTGGGACATGCCCACTTTTGTACAGGGAGTGCAGGGCAACAAATAAATTATCTAGTTCATGATCATGTGGCAGAATATGTGATAGTTAGAATTTAGTTGTCAAAGTGCCAAAAAAGAAGCTATAGCTTGGAGGGCCAAGTGCAAGTAGCCGTTTATGAAATGATCACCTTCGCTATACATCATTTTCTCGGGTGCATTTTACTTTGTTTGTGTTTGTATTCTGTGTAACTTTAGTTGTGCGATTCTGAACAATCTTGAAAAGTTTCACTGTTGGGGAGTTAGGACAGGACACTAGAGTTTTAGACGCTTTTTGAAGGTCGAATTAGAAAATGTATAGTTTTCTTAAGGTCCTGAGAGTAAGAAACAGTAACACACACTTACTCTTGTGAAAACAAGAACTGATTTCATGTATTTTTGTTTTATTTGCCTATTTCATCTGTGTAGGACACTAGACTTGGCCCATTGAAGGTACTTCTTGTTCTCAGAATAAATAGCTTGGAAGGGTAATTGCAACTTTCCAACGGAATAAAAACATTGAATGACTTCTAACTTGGATTTGGAATTCTTTCCACTGACTAAAACACTAGCTGAAAAAACAAAGAGTTCATGGGTATATAAATCCAATGCACGTTTAGGTGTTTATGCATTCGAGTAAGGGAATTTGTTTTGATGGCATTCATAAGGTGAGCTCATCTGTATTTATTAATAATTGCATCACAGGACAGTGAGGAGTTTGAATTGAAGCTTGAAGAACCAGTTAGAAAAGTCCCTTGGTGCAGTGTGGATCCATACCCTTCGCCTAACAATAAATCGAGTGAAATAGATAAATTTCCTCTGTATTTCAACGGACCAAAGCCTTTTGAAGTCACTGTCAAGGCCGGCGAAATGCTTTATCTGTGAGCTTTTTTTTTTTGGTCCTTCACAATTGTGTTTTCTTTACCCTTTTTGTTTTGTTTTTGGTGAAATTTGTTCTTACTTTTGAAGAATTTGCAGTATCATACTTTTTGAACAAAAAGGTATCGTCTTTTGAGAAGTACGACATTTTTTTGCAGGCCCAGCATGTGGTTTCACCATGTTCGACAAAGCACGGACGATAGCACACTCACTATTGCTATAAACTACTGTACGTAATCTGACGTTTTAACTTACTTTGAGTATTTATTTTCACTCTAATTACAAGAAAAATCTCTCTCTCTCTCTCTCTCTCTCTCTCTCTCTCTCACTCAGTGACTGAATTACTTTGTGGTGGCATGGCAGGGTATGATATGCAGTTTGATATTAAGTACGCGTATTTCAACTTCCTTCAGTCGATCCCTTGTTCGTTATTCGAGAATCGAGTGATGTGTGAAACGGCATCAAGCTCTGAGAAATGTTCGTTCGATGATGAAGATTAGAAATGTTTCTTATTACCTTTGCCATGTGAATTTTGAACCTCTAGTTATATAACTCCAAACTTGTGTGATTAATTAATTCAACCTGATAAATTATAAAGCACATAAAATATCCTTTGAGTAAATGAATTGAGCTTATTATATAAACCTTGCCCCATCTGTATATATCATATCATACATACACTATCAAATGAAGTGAGCAAATTATTTCTAAAAATTACTGAAAATTCATTGCTATAAACACTATTTCTGACTCAAGAGCGGTTACATTGGGAACACCTTCCGGTCCTTTGCAGGTTACATTGGGAACACCTCCCGGTCCTTTGCAGGTTACATTGGGAACACCTCCCGGTCCTTTGCAGGTGATCGAAGATCGAAAAAATTAAATTGATAATGTTTGCTGCAATACCATACCTTTATGTATATAATATGATCATAATAGAAAGATCTTAGGATAATTCTTATGGATTTTAATTAAATAATCAAAGTTTTTTGAGGTCACTCTCGGGCACAAAGAGGCCATGGAAGCCATCAGGTACCCGTTGGGGCAGTTTAACGGTGGCTACAATGTCGAGTGTCGGGGATTTTGCGTCCATTACCAAGAACGTTGACTCTCCAACGAGCTCGTTGTGTACGTACGTAATTAGGTAACCGTCATCCTCGTCAGCAGACGGGTTATTCGGTTCTCGAGGCACAAAAAACGTCTCCCCCCCATTGCAGCCCGGCCCGTATAGACGTCTGGCAACCGTGCAGTCGCTGCCGTTGAGCGACAGGTCGAGTTTCACTATGCCTTTCCACGATGTCTCGTCTGTTATGGTTGCGTACACGTATCTGCCCGATAAACATCAGTTAAATTTTTTAGATATACAAAAGACGGGGAAAACAAAATTTAGTAGACATAGGAAATACGATCAAAGCAAGAGTTCATTAACTGGTTTTGGATAATAGGATGAAAGTAAATTTGTTTTTGAAGTCGATTCACCGAACTTGTGCTTATCGAACAACGGTCAAATTCTTTTAACTACTATTTTCATTTTTTTATTTTTTTTTTTGATGCAAAAGATGGGGTCGTCAGAGGCCCAAAACGACTAGACTAAGACTCGATGTGGGTAAGACACCCCGCTATACTTTTATTTTATGACGCATGTATGCACACACGCAAATTCCGACAAAAGTCAAACATTTTGACTTTCCACCCACACACCCACAACACACAGTAAATAAATCACCTGTTCTTTCTCGACGCATACGACGCGTTGATAACCCCAAAATCCATACTATCCGGCGACAGCACCTCCCTCTCCGTCACCCTCCCTCCGCCAACATCAATCGTTATCCTCTCCATCCTTAGCCCCGCCCGCCGGAAGTCCTCCACGAACATCCCCACCTCCGTCGCATTCGTCCCCACCACCACCACCCTCCGCCCTTCCTCCTCCTCCCATGCGTTCACGCAGTGCATCATATTCAACCCCGACGCCTCCACCCATGTCATCCCCACGTCATCCTCTGCGTACCTCCCTATTATCCCCACCCTCTCCACCTTCTCCCCGCCATCCACCCCCACCGGAGACCTCCCCCGCCAGACCTCCGCTGCCCTCACCACCATCTTCCCCACGGGAAACACCGCGTAACTCTCTGTCAACCCGAAATCGTGCACCACCGCGCAGCAATCCCCGACCGAGTTAATCGGCACTCCTTTCCCTTTCCTCCCGAATGAGTCGGTTCGGAAATACGTCAGAAAAGGTCGGTCCACGTCGTACGAGTACGCAAAACCCTCACCCGTCGCCCGGTCCACCTTCGGGTGGGCCGTCATCCTCCGTAATCCCCGGTCTCCGAGGTCAAACTGTTAGAAATATTGTATTTAGACAACGTGTGTATAAAATTTAAATGATTATAATTGTAAAGATATAATTGATGTTATAGGGATTTACTAAATTTATAATTTTGAATAAAGAGGAGGGTATAAAATTATTATGCAAGTGTTGATAACGTTATGAAAATTAGGGGTGTTCACGGTCCGGATTGGTCCGGTTTTAGCCCAAACCATGACCAAACCGGACCTAACGGTTAATTTTTTTTCTTGTCCATAACCGGACCGGTTTTATTTTTTAACCGACCACAATCCGAACCGCATTGGACGGTCCGGTTTGGCGGTTAACCGGTTAAATCCAAAATTCTTGTTTTGGGCCTTCAATTTTATTTTTTTCATTTTGGGCTTAATTTTCATTTTTCAATTTTGAGCCCAAAAAAGATTATTTGGGCCTAAAAATTAGGAAAAATAACAATAATGAAATAAAAAATATACAGTTCGTCCTATAAGCATAAAAATACACATTTCGTCCCGTAAACATAAAAATATAAAAATGATGAAGATTAAATTATGCAAAAAAGCCAAAAAATGATAGTGAATTTATTGTATTTGTCGGTCATAGTGAATGACTGAATGTATATATATATTTGTTATAGTTTTTTAACATTTACCGGTCCGGTCCGGTTAAACCGACGGTTTGCCGCATGTAATCCGTTAACCGGACCGGTTATTCCAGATTTTTAAAAAAATTAACCACCAAATTTTTTAAGGCTTTTTTAACCGACCATTTAACCGATCCGCGGTCCGGATTGACGGTTTTTTCCGGTTAAAACCAGACCGTGAACACCCCTATATGAAATTTTCTGTTTGTAATAAAAATTAATTAATTTTATTTTTTTGTTTATGTCCCACAAATTAATTAATTAATTTCCGTTTTGGGTTTTATAATACTACATAACCTGCCCGAGTGTCACCACGTCACCATCTTCCTCGACCCGGATCTCATACGGTAGGTCGGATTCCGACAACGCGAGTAGCCGGCCTCCGAGCATGGCTAGGCTCACGTTCGACGTCCCGTGGCCCGCCGGGTCAAATTGGCCCGTAACAACCCGGGCCACGGCAAGGGCCAGCCGGGCCACGGAGGCTGCGGCCGACCCGTTGAATGAGCTTAGGACGCCCGGGACGAAAGGGTAGCCGGCCCGCCGCTCGTACTCGTGCTTTCGGGTTTTGATGTAGCGGCA